CCGAAGGGCGCTGCGGAGGGTCCTGCTCGGGCGAGGAGTGAGGGGAAGGAAGAGGGAGCGAGTGGGGCCGAGGTCTCTTCTCCCTCTGTTTGAATGACTTAGAATCCGCTGCAAGTCGTCGCTCTCCCTAAAGTGAAGCGTTCTTCTCCTTCCTTCCTGGGGTCTTCCCCTGGGCCTTCTGCTTTCTCCTGCATCCTGATTTTCCTGCCAGTACAACTTTTGTTGTTACAGTTTTGGGATAGATTCTGTGTCTTAAACTCCTACTGGTCCTAAAATTATTTTTTGGGGAGCTGGAGCGATAGCACAGCGGGTGGGGCGTTTGCGTTACACGTGGCTGACTGGGGTTTGTTTCCCAGCATCCCATAAGGTCCCCGTGCACCTCCAGGAGTAAATCCTGAGTAAAGAGCCAGGAGAAACCCCAGTGCATTGCCAGGTGTGACTAAAAAAAAAAAAGCTTAAAAAAAGTTTTTTGTTTTGTTGTTGAGCCACAACCATCAGAATTTCTTGGTGAAGTGAAGCCTCTGTATCTGCATTGGTAATTGAGCTGTAAGAACCCTACATACTCCAATTTTTTGGGGGGGGAGTGGCACACTCAGTGGTGCTGAGGAATTACTCCTGGCTCTGCACTAAGGAATATTTCTGGTGGGCTCAGGGCGTATGGGATGCCCGAGATGGAATCCAGGTGAACTACATGCAAAGCAAGCACCCTACCCGCTATACTAGTGCTCCAGCTCAATTTTTTTTTAAATCCTTTATTTCTTTATTGTTTTGTAGTGATGGAATAATGCTGGGGTTTAGTGCTTACACGCTTTTTAGTTGTGGTTGCAGTGCTTGCACTCAGCATGTCTGCTTGCACTCAGCATGTCTGCTTGCCATGGGTTGCACTCCTTTAGTTGTGCCTGCACACATGCTTAGGGGGCAGGGGGAAGGGGGGTCTTTTTAATTTGACATTCACACACATTGTCTAGTACTCACTGTGGGTCACCTGGTGCTTTTGGACATATTGACTGGTATCCTTGGTCGTGATGCTCACAAGTTTTTCTGTACATCAGGAAATTGTGACAGTACTGACAAACTTCAACAGTAGAATTACCAGGAGTGTACTTGATGCATGCATGCACACTGGAGATCAAACTCAAGACCATATACTTTTGGAACTGGAATGATAGGACAGTAGATAAGGGGCTTATCTTGCACATTGCTGACCTGGGTTCAATCCCCAGCATCCCATATGGTTCTCCAGATGACTCCTTGTGAAAACACAAATAGGGCAGTGGCGCTCTGTCTCCCGCTGCCCGCGTTCAGTAGTCTCAAGCTGCTTCCCTCAACCTGGGGGGGCCGATGGCGATGGGCAGGTGAAGGAAGAAATGAGGGCCAGGCTGATTGGTGTCAGTTGCAGTTTGTTCCATTCCCATCTCCATTCTCTGATTCTCCTGCTTCTTCTCCCCCATACTACTTCATTCTCCATTTCGATCATGATCATCCTATTGTTTGTTGATTGCCTCGAGCAGGCACCAGTAACGTCTCCTTCGTCTTAGCCCTGAGATTTTAAAAAGTGCCATATTCAAGGCTCTTGCGGAGTTAGGAGAATGAGACCCATCATTGTTACTGGTATTTGGCATATTGGGTACGCCACGGGGACTTTGTCAGACTCTGCTGTGTGGGCAGGTTACATCTGGTAGCCTGCCAGGTTGTCCAAAGTAAGAATGAGATAATAAGATCTTCCAGGAGCTGAGTTTTATAGTTTCTGGGTCTTGGCCATTGATGGGATTACACGGCCGCTGGGGGTCAGTTGGTGAGTGTGCCCCCTGCCTACGGGAAGATGGAGTATCTGGGTGGAGGATGCTCAGCCCCGATCTGAGCAGGCTTGGAGATCTCAGCCCCCGGACCTGCATGCCTTTGTTCCTCTGCCAGTACCTTCATGCGTGTGGAGATCCTTCTCGATCCCCCTTCAATCTCCTTCTGGCTCTGGATCCCCCAGCCCCCTCTTACTGCCTGTTAAATCCCAAAGCATGAGGGATTGGGGCTTACACATAGATGTGGTCACAATCAGTGGGAGTTAAGTTTTTTCCCTCAGGGATAGCCTCTTCTAGGGCAGATTTAGCAGGACGACCTACCCTAGAGTGGAATTCCTTGGGTGTGTTTCTCCTTTCCTTGTCCAACAAACATATAAGCATTCATAATATTAACATTTTGTATGGACACAGTCACAGTCACGGTCATGGTCCTCCCGTTGTTCATTGATTTGCTCGAGCGGGCCCAGTAACGGCTCCATCATGAGACTTGTTGTTACTGTGTCTGGCATATTGAATATGTCACGGGGAGCTTGCCAGGCTCTGCCGTGTGGGCGAGATACTCTCGGTAGCTTGCCAGGCTCTCCGAGAGGGGCGGAGGAATCGAACTCGGGTCGGCCCTATTGGCCACTTGTAAGGCAAACGCCCTACCGCTGTGCTATCGCTCCAGATACATTAAGCTTATAGAATTGCTCTCCTGGGGTCATCTCAATCTCAGACTACAGTGCTCAGGCCAGATTAGTCTTTCCTATCCCTAGCAGGGTCCTAGTCTTATCCTTACTTTTGGATCATGACAGCATTTGTCCATGATCAAGCTCTTAACTCATAGTTGAGTATCGTGGCACTTTGGCCTGACCCATTTCAATGCCAGGTAGCTTACATCTTGCCCTGGGTCCATTCAGTCCCTCGTCAGGACCCTGCTTTTGGGGTGCTAGGAACTAAGAGCAACTGAGGCTTAAGTCGAGAAAGCAGATTCCCAGGAGTGGAATAATATTTGAAGCCAATTAAATCCCAAGTTATAAAAGCATAATATTAACTGTCTTCCTGTGTCTATACAAAAAGGACTTTGCTTTAAGCTATTCAGAAGACATAAGGAGAGGAGAAAGGCAATATATAACTTACAATACAAGTTCCATGTCGAGAAGGATCTGACCTTACAAATTAACAGATTCTGATTAGGGGGGAAAGCTGATTAACTGGTTGGGGAAGAGAGCACAGAGAAATTACGATAAGCACAGACGAATTGGAGTGACTCAGGAGCACTATGATGGGTGTAACCTGATAAACCTAAGCCCCCTGTGGTAAGGGAGAAAGGACTAATCAGTGTTATCCTACAACTCCTGAGCACCGTCAGGAGTGATTTCTGAGCACGGAACCAGGAGTAACCCCTGAGCATTGTTAGGTGTGACCCCAAATCTCGCCCCCCCCCAAAAAAAAAGACCAGTTACTTGCAAAGGAAAGTGTTCCAAGCCACTAAGTCATTACTCTGAGCCCCTGCACCTTGAAATGAACATTGTTTATACAGTTGTATAATAATTAAAACTATATTGAGTTTCTACCTAAAATCAGTGTTCTTTCCTGCATGCTTGATCACAGTAGGAACATTTTAAAATCTATTGATCGTATTGATTTTTCTTTAATGGTTAAAATAGTGTGTTTCCCTAGGGCAGAGAATTCACTTATTTGTTCATTTCTTTTGGTTTTCAGTTTGTGTTGGTTGTTTTCCCCACCTTACTTCTGGTCCAGCTTCCATTTATTTCTCGAACCTATAGAGGCTACCTTTTTTGCAAGCCCCGTTCTAAAAATCCCTTCCCAGATGTCCTTTGTGCTTATTTTAGCACTGAGGGAAATCAGTTCATTTTGCTATTTTTGTTAGTTTGGGGGTCACCCACCTGTGCTCAGGCTTTACTCCTGGCTCTGCACTCAAGGATCCTGCTAGCAGGGCTCAGAAGACCATATGGGATGCTAGGGATCAAGCCCAGGTCGGCTGCATACAAGGCAAACACCCTTTACCTGTTGTATTATTGCTTCTGCCCTCCTTTTGTTATTTAAGTGAGCCTGCTATTCAGAGTGTATTTTTCTAGCACTGTAGAGATAGTAGAGGTAGGCCTTCCACATGGCCAGCCTTGGTTCAAGTCCTGGTATGGTTCAAATATATCCTCTCCCTCGTTTTGATTATTTATTTATTTATTTATAATTTTATTTTCCCTTTATAATTTTACAGTTTTACAAAGTTGTTCATGATGATTTGTTACAGACATTCAATTATACCAACACTAGTCCCACCACCATTGCATCGTTCCACCACCAATATCTCCAGTTTTCCCAACCACCCATTAAACTTGATCCATAACAGGCCCTCAGTAATTTATTTTATATTATTTGTTATAATTTTCTAAAAGAATGATCAAAAAAATGTTTCCTCAGAAAAAAGTTAGTGAAGATTATTGTCTCTCACCATGAAGCCATTAAGCCTTTGTATAAGCGATTACTACCATGTTAAGATTAAGCCTTCTGTGTTGGTATTTTGTTAATCGAAATTGAATGTCTTCTACATTACATCCCAGTCTGGTGTTGTACTCCTGGTTTATCAGTGTTGTAGTGTTGTTGTGTAGCCACGCGCTTCAGGAAGTTCAAAATTTTTAACAGATGATTCAGCTGGAGTTAAATTTTTAACTAAGTGGCAGATTTGGGGCTTGTGCATGACTTCCAGAAGTACAGGGAGATGGTGGGGAGGTAGCCCATCCCCTACTCCATGAAAACCTGGAGATTTCTGTCACAAAACCCGCATAGCTGAGTTTTTCAACAGATTAATTTCTGGATGAGGCTTGTCCTGAGCAGTGGGGTCTAGCCTGGAGCATGGTGGTGATTGTGTAGTATGCGGGTTTCTCGGATGCCAAAGCTCTGTTTGGGCAGGTGCTGGGCTTGCCCACCCTACTCCGGGGTGTACCGGATGACTCAGTCTTGCATGACTCCCCCATTTTTAATATAGAATTGTTGTACTGGGGCTGAACCCAGGGCCTCACATGTGCAAAAAAATGACATTACAAAATTTAAATGTTAGCATTTCTAAATGTCAAAACAGTTTAGTGGCAAAAATCGTTGTTTCTCTGGGCACAGTTGGGACAGTGTCTTAGCCTCTAATAAGAGTCGTCATTAAGTATATAACGTCTTTAATTTTATCTTGTGATTTTGCTTGGTTTTTCAGAACCATGGCCACTGTTCCTCAGAATAACCTACAGGAGCAGCTCCAGCGTCATTCTGCCAGAAAACTTCATAATAAATTAAGTGTTTCCAAACCAAGATCTTCGTAAGTGTGTCAGTTTGCTGTCTCATAGTTACTAACTCACCATAGCATACAAATGAGATATCTTTCTTGTAAAAGATGCCCTTTTATTGTAATTGGAGACAATGGTGGAGGGAAAGTATGATGGTGGTGGAACTGGTGTTGGAATATTGAATGCCTGTAGCAAATCATCATGATCAACTTTGTAAACCACAGTGTTTATGTAAAGTGTAAGGGGAAAATTTACTGGTGTGGGCCTTATCTATTCCATTATAAACTCCAGAATATATTAACACAACTGCCTTGAAAGTGTGAAGCATGATTATTACCATAACAAGATCCAAGTATAAAATAAAATTTAACATAACATACTTTAGATTCTAGAGTTGAAGACTTATCTATAAATGAGAATAGGTATTTTTTATACTGTATTAAATGGTTTAATTTCCTTTAAAAAATAAGAGGCAAAAAATAAATTAAAAAAATAAATCCTTTTATTGTATTTATGACAGTAGAAACTAAGGCATGTTTAGCAGTACAGGTAAATTATTTGGCCCTTTTCTTGTTCTTGCTCTTTGGCCATAGCCAGCAATGACTAGAGGCTACTCCTGGTGCATTGCTAGGGGAGCCATGCAGTGCTAGGGATCACACCTTTGGCTTCCACGTGCGGAGCATGCTCTCCCTGAGCCTGTTTGATACTTTTGCGTGATGCTTCACACATAATGCTTGTTCAGGAAATATTTTTGAATGATGAATGATGTATCTTGTAAATTAGGACTGTCACTGTCCTCCCACTGTTCATTGATTTGTTCGAGTGGGCCCAGTAAATCTCCATTGTGACACATTGTTACTGTGTTTGGCATATTGGATATGTCATGGGTAGCTTGCCAGGCTTTGCTGTGTGGGAGAGATACTCTTAGTAGCTTGCCAGGCTCTCTGAGAGGGTCGGAAGAATAGAACCTGGAGCGGCCGTATGGCCGCTTGCAAAGCAAATGCCCTACCACTGTGCTATATTGGGGCCCAGGATCGATTCTCATCATCCCACGTGGTCTCCTGAGCACTGCCAGGAGTGATTCCTGGATGCAGAGCCAGGAGTCAGCCCCGAGCATCGCCGGGTATGACCCAAAAAGTCAAAAAAAAAAAAAAAGAAAAGAAAGCTGAGTGTCACACGACTGATCGCTACTGCTCCTGGCCCTGGGCTCCAGCACCTCACATCTCTCACCTTTTCTATTAAAAGGAGAATGAAAAAGAGAAGAAAGCTCACAAGAGGGCCAGGGTGCAGTTCAGTGAGAGTGTTTGCCTCACATGAGTGGGACTGGGTGAATTTAATCTCAGGCTCTACAAGAAGAGAAGATGGTCTTCCGCTTGTAGTCCAGACGGTGTAGCATGCTACCCACCCCTGAAAGCGCCCACCTGCTGATGTTTTTATAGTTTCAGTGGACCAAGACAGAGCCAATGAAGAAATAGCTTCATATTGACTGGACCGTACTGGTTGGTGGAGCCTCCTCTGCCACAGTCATCTTTATCCTCATTGTCATATTAAAGAGTATACCCCTGCATGTTATTAACTATGATTATACCTGCAAAGTATGATGATGTTCACATGTTCACATGCTCACATTTTGCCCTTATAAATATGCATGCTTTTCCCCTGAAAAATGACTAAGAATAGGTTGTTACATCATCCTAACGCTACTCGGCATAAAATCGGACCCTCACTTCTTGAGGCTTGCTCAGTAGCTAGTGTTTGTTCAACGCTTACATTGTTTTCTTGCCATTAAAGCCCCTTTGTCTAATCATTAGTTCCTGTGCTATTTTAGGTGATACATCTCTTTCTAATTTGAGCTGCCTTCCTCTCCCCTCTGGAGATGATTTTTCTGCTTTGTTGTGTTGGTTACCCCAGGCTTGGTGCTGGAAGACCTGTAGTACTTACAGTACTGAACCTCAGTCCCAGGCCTCTGACTTTCGAAGAGTGTGCTTAATGCTGGGTTTTTTGTTCTGTTTTGTTTTGTTTTGGGAGGGGGCCCTCTTGGCAGGCTCGGGGGTTACTCCTGCCTCTGTGCTCAAGAATTACTACTGTTTTCTTCAGCACAAGTCAGGTATTAAGAACAGAGCAGAAATCTTATGACTCTTATCCTAAGGATCTATAGCGGTGTGTACTGAACGATCTGTTGACCCATTCTTGAGGCAAGATATGTTGGTGAATAATTTTATTCTGTTGACTTTTGTTTGTTTTTATTTGGGGACCACACTCAGCAGTGCTCAGGGATCTTTCCTAGTGGGCTCAGAGGTCCATATGGGGTGCTGGGGACCAAATCAGCATTGACTCTATGCAAGGCAAGTACTTCAGGGTTCAAACTAGAGTCAGGCCCATGCAAGGCAAATGCCCTACCCGCAGTGCCATCGCTCCAGCTAGTACTAAGTGTTGAGCTTTCCGGCCCTCTGGTGATGGAAAGGACTATTTGCTTGAGAAAGCAGTGGGAATGGCTTAAATACTCTCAAACTGTATAATTAACCTCTGAAATGGAAGGATTAGAGCCTCTGGTGATAATTTAAGTTGCTCCATAAATTTTACCCCTTCCCTTTGTTGACATTATGTCTGAGGGGAGCACATTTAGTTGTGTTGCACTGGAGATTGCACACTGGTGGTGCCTGGGATCCCAATGACCATGCCATTAGACTCACAGCTTGGCATATGGATGGTGCATGGGATCAAACTCGTAGCCTCATGCCTGAAGACATACCACTGAGCCACATCCTTGGCTTTTACCTTATAACTTGTAAAACCAGAGAGTAAGGGATACTACGTCTTTGCTTATCTTTGCTAGGTAACGTAGTAAAAAGAAAACAAAGTACAGTTTTGATTTGTGTGGTTGGTTGGTATATTAAAATGAAACCATCTTATTTGGATTTTCAATTATTTTTTCAGAGGTTTTACTTTTAAAAAGAAATTATCTTCAGCCAGCGATGTCTCTGTGACCACTGTCTCAGCAGCAGAGACACCCAAGTTAAGTGATAAAGATGTCAACATTAGTTTGGTATTTCCCAGTGAGCCCACTCTGCCCATCTCCAGTCAACCAATGAGGGTCAGTAACTTGAATGCTCCGGAGAGCCAGCGAGGCAAGACAGTTGATTCAGAGCCATCATTGCAGGAAATGTTGTCTGCTCCACCAGAGGAATCATATTCAACACAGAACACGCCGTTTATAAAGGAACCCCGTGATGCTACTTTCAAGAAATTAGAATTTAGCTCTTCTTCAGATTCTTTTCTTACCACCGCTGGTTGGGATGATATGGATGATTTTGATATTTCTGGAGATTCAAAAGCATTTATTACCCCATCCAGAAATCACTTCATAAAAGTTAGCACTGCTCAGAAATCAAACAAATCTAAGAGAAACCTTTCAAAGGCACCACTTCATAAAACAAATACATTAAAGGCTTATTTCACTCCTTCCTCCCCTGAAAGCATGCAACAGAGAGATGATTCAGAATGGTTAAATAGCGATGTGATTTGCATTGATGACCTCCATTCCAAAGAGCTTATAGATGAAGATGTTCAGGAGAGTCAGTATTTGAAAACTCCTTTCAAAGAGGAAAAAGGTAAAAGTGTTTTATTTTTATTTATTTATTTATTTTTTGCTTTTTGGGTCACACCCGATGATGCACAGGGGTTACTCCTGGCTCTGCACTCAGAAATCATTCCTGGCGGTGCTCAGGGGACCATATGGGATGCTGGGAATCGAACCTGGGTCGGCTGCGTGCAAGGCAAACGCCCTACCCGCTGTGCTGTCTCTCCAGCCCCTTATTTTTAATACATAGATTGTTTTCTTCAGCACGAGTCAGGTATTAAGAACAGAACAGAAATATTATGACTCTTATCCTTAGGATCTATAGCAGTATGTATTGAACAATCTGTTGACCCATTCTTGAGGCAAGATATGTTGGTGAATAATTTTATTCTGTTGACTTTTGTTTGTTTTTATTTGGGAACCACACTCAGCAGTGCTCAGGGATCTTTCCTAGTGGCCTCAGTGGTCCATATGGGGTTCTGGGAATCGAATCAGCATTGACTATATGCAAGGCAAACACCCTACCTGCTGTACTATCTCTCTGCCCAATATTTTACTCTATTGAAATACTTTCAGTTTGGTTTTTTTTTTTTTTTTGGCGGGTGGAGGCAGGGTGGTATTTTCAGTGCTGGGGATCAGCCCAGGGCCACATGCATGCACAGTATAAGTCTAACCACTAAGTTACATATCCAGATTATAAAAAAATTTTATTTGTGTCTTTTTGGACTACATTCAACAGTGCTCAGGGACTATTCCCAGTTTTATGCTTATTGCTGGTAGTGATCTCAGGACCATGCAGTGCTGGGGATCAGTCATGCTTTGGTTGCATACAAAGCAAGCCCCCCTACTTTGCTTATGGCCTCACTAAAATTTTTTTTGGCTTTTTTTGTGGGGGGGGGTGGTCACACCCGGCAATGCACAGGGGTTAACTCCTGGCTCTGCACTCAGGTATTACTCCTGGTGGTGCTCAGGGGCTGGTAATCGAACCCGGGTCGGCCGCGTGCAAGGGAAACACCCTACCCACTGTGCTTTCGAGCCAGCCCCTAAAATAATTTTTAAATACGAATGAAATCTCTGATTTTACACTTAAAATAAGGTTCGGAGAGGTTAAGATGGGCCTCTGAATAGCCTGATAGTAAGTACTAGAATTGGGAAAATAACCTCTCTGTGGTGATTTCTGTATGACTTTTCTATCTTATATTAATGTATAATGTGATCTACTCAGCTATTAAAGTATTGCAGGTTACATCTAAATTATTGTGTTTCTATTTCATAGTTCTTAGATATTTAGATCATAATATATGCAAGTTTACTACCCACTTTAATGAAGCAATTTTAAGTGTGAGACTAAAATATTCAAATATTGAATCCTAGGGTAAACAGACTGACAAATGATTATAAGAAAAACTATAGTCATATAGGTTTATGTGGTAAAAAAAAGTTGATGAAAAGTAAACTAGCAGGTCCAGAGAGGTAGTACGATGGGTAAGGTGCTTACCTTGCATGCAGCTGACCTGGGTTCAATCCCCGACTTCCATTTGGTCCTCTAAGCCGGCCAGAAGTGATCCCGGAGCACAGAGCCATGAATAAGCCCTGAGCACAACCAGTTTGACCCCAAAACAATATAAACTAGAGAACTACAGCTTGGCATTGTATTTTCCCTCAGTTAAGAGACACTGAATGAGGTACACCTGAATAACCAAGTCTCCATAGTAGCAAGCCAGTATTTGCACTGTTGTCAAACTTGTTCATCATACTATATTCTTACTTAGATGAGTGATTAATAGAAAAAAATGCTAAAACATGTTTCATAATTTTTTTTTTATTGAATTACCATGAGATACAGTTACAAAGCTTTCATGTTTGAACTACTTTTGGGCATTATAATTTGCTCGAATTTTCACACCACCATTTAAGCCTGCCTGTCGGGGTGAATGCTAGGTAATTTATTTTCTTTTGCTCACTTTGAATATGAGAGGTTCGCAAAAGCAGCCCCCCCCCCCGCCCGTGCGCGCGCACGCTTCTGGAATTCTAAGATTGTAACTGGTTTGGGGTTCAGTGACATCTCTGTAGGGGAGCGCTAATCCATTTTGGGATTCAACTGGGAATCCCTGGGACAGGGCTGTTGGGTGCTGAGATGGCACCCAGAGGCAGATTGTGGGCATGACAGCCAGGTTCGGGGACAGCTGCCAGGTGGCCTTAGTCCTGGAACCCACATATCTGGGCCTTGCTTGTGAAAGCTGATGGTCGCCGGGGCTTCATCTGGAGCAGGCAGGGAGCGCGCACTTGCTCCAGCTGAGGTGTCCCAGTGAAATTGGCTCAGTACGGGGCCCAGAGAAATCTCTCACTGCTGTGTCTCTGAACCAGAGGTGTCAGTGTGCTAAGATCTGTTTTATAATGTAAGTGAGAGAGTTAGGGAAATACTTTGCAAATATGCCTCAGTCCTGCATAAGCAGACTTGATCCAGTCGACTCTTAACCATTTGTGGGGAAAGAAGACAATGGTGATGCATGAGAGGAGAGGCATCAGAGGTGGGGTTGCCATGTGTGACTCCTGGAAGCATTCACTCCTAAGTTATGCTCTTTTCTTCATCTTGTTATTAAAGTATTCTGTATCACTTGTCTTATTTTAGGTAATAAGGAAAAGAAAAACTTAGAAGTAAGGGAATTACATTCAAATGAGAATTCTCCATGTCTTGAGCTGAATGAAGATGATTGCGGTGTAGATTTTGTTCCACCTTCTCCAGAAGGAATGCTCTCTAGCTCTTCTTCCTCTTTAAAATGCTCTAGGTAAAATGGCCTGTTTATTTATGAGCATTCTTGTTTGTTTCTGGGATATTGAAAGTATCTTATTATGTGGTATCATGTCTGTGTACATGTCATGTTTCTACACAATGTAATTTATAGTCAAATGAAAGTGTAAACATTTTTGTTTTAAATTTTGGGATTATACCTGATTACTGTTGGAAACTACTCACTGCTTTGTGCTTAGGGGACCATTCTAGTGCTAGGAATTAGACCTGGGGTTTCTATATGCAGAACACATGCTCAAGCGTTGAACTATATACTACCTAACAAGTTGTGGAAAAATATTAGAGATAAATGATACAGTGTCCGGCCTTTACATGATTGAATTTGTATTTTTAATTTATAGTATATTAAAGGACCTTGACACATCTGAAGGAAAGGCAGGTCATCTTAGCATGTCAGAGGGCTTGTCCAAACCTGAGAAAAGGACTACGCAGCAATCTAACCAAGGTAACAGCACAGATTGTGAGAGCATCCAAGCATTTTAGACACGTGTGTTTAGACTGCTTTTTAAAATTTTTGGTTTGGAGCTAAACCTGACTCTACCCAAGGGATATTCCTGTCTCCATGCTAAGTTCACTCCTAACATAGCTCAGGGGACCATATGGGGTGCCAGGAATCAAGCTTGGGTCGGCTGTGTGCAAGGCAAGTGCCTACCCACTGTAATATAGCTCTCAGTCCTCCTCTTCTTCCTTATTCTTCTTCCTTCTTTCTTCATTCTTTCTTCTTCATTTCTCTTTGCTTCATCTCTTTCACAACTTTGACAGGGTCAGAGGTACCTCACACATTTTTAGCTGCAGTGCTTGCCCACAAGTTCACAGGGTTACACTCTTAGTTGAGGCGCACAGGTTTAATGTCTGTGTTTGCCAGGGCTTACTGTACTACTCACCAGAAGTTGGATTTCCTGGCCATGGTGCTTGCATGTCTTTTTTAAATTATGTGGCCTGGGAGTTGCAATGATTTTTATTTTGTTTTGGGGCCTCATTCAGTGGTGCTCAGGGCTGGCTCTTGGTGGATTTGGGGACCATATGGGGTGCCAGGGATCACATCCAGGTCCGCTGCATGCAAGGCAAACACCTTACCTTCTGTCCTATTGCTCTGGTCCCTGCAGTGCTTTTTAGTGGTGCTTGCACACACCTCACTGTGTGCAGCCAGAAATTGTTTACAGTGTTTGGGATTGCAGAGAGTAGAGCCCCAAGCCAAAACAGCAGATCTAGAACTGGAGGGCTAGTATAGGGGTTAAGGTACTTGCCCTGTGTCTTGCTGCCCTCTGTTTGAATACTCAACATCACATTTGGTCCCCGAGCTCTGCCAGTTGTGGCCCACAAACCAAAATGAACAGCAAAGCTGCCAGTACTTGCTCAGCACACATGGACACTGGGAACATAAGCTCCTGACTGTACTGCAGGCTCTCAGAGAACAGTACCTCCTGTCTAGAGATCCTTTCAAAGGAGAAAATACATTGGGATGGCTGGCTTATTTATATGAACTCTTGGCTAACTTTACAATTATTTCCTCTCCTTAGAGTCACAAAGCAATCCTTTGATAACATGTTCTAGATTTTGCCTTGAATTAACATTAAGATCCCCAGCCTGTATCCTTTGGCAGTCTCTAGATTTTTTTTTTTTTAAATAAGAACAAAATTTGCCTGTCTTCACTCATCTGTCAACTTTCCGGTTCACCTATCAGTGATATCGTGTTTGCAGGTTTTCTTTGTATTCTGAGGTGTAATCTGTCTAGACAAAAGGAGACAGAGCTCCTCTCTGATAGCTGTATCTCTCCCTGAGCCTGTCTTGCTTTTCATTTCCTTCTAACCATTGTTTATTTCCCTTTCCAATCTAATACCCATTCTCCTTGGAAAAGAGAAAAAATAGAATCTAGCAATTCTGCTTTTACCATTTCATACCTTACATTCTAATTTCCATCATTCACTAAAGGTCATGTCTCCAAGGTTACCCTTTTACAGATGCTTATACCCATATCTGCCCTGGCATACTCTCTAGACCTTTCAACTCCTGCCCTCTCCAGCCCTTTCCTGGTTAGCCTCCTTCTCTTCCCTGGTCATTTTCTTTTATTTCTCTGATTGTGTCCTGGAAACACTTTGTGCTGCAGCCACCTAATCTGATTTCTCCTCATATACTTCAGGCCTAAGTGTACAGTGGGTATCTTCTTGCTTCCCATTGCTACCTTCTCCAAGATCTATCTTTCTTTCTTTCTTTCTTTCTTTCATATTAAGGAAATGGACGTTATACTTCTTTTTTTGGTTGTTTTTTGTTTTGTTTTGGGCCCAAATCAGCAGTAATTAAGACTGATTGACTGCTGGTTCTGCACTCAGGGATCACTCCTGACAGGACTTAGGGACCATGTAGGGTATTGAGAATCAAACCCAGGTTAACCACATGGAGGGCAAGAACCCTACCCACTGCACTGTCTCCTCGGCCCTAACTTTGGACTTCTTTACTGTTCCACTTGAGGAAACAAAATTGTGGAGTGAGCCGGTTGGGTCCAGATGTTCAAATACTGTCAGCATGAAAGTCTCTCAACACCCACCTTCTCTCATCTGTTCCATCACGGCTCTCCATTTATTTCTGTCTCTGCAACTTTCCTTGTTTTGATCTTATTTTCAAGCTGTTTTCCTGTGTGGTGGCAGAGAGGCAGCCATCTAGGTTTGAGAAGAGACGTTTTCTTGCCCAGTGCATTAAAAAACTTCTGATGTCATTGTCGTGGAGTTGCCTCCATCAGATGTTCACCGAGGAGTGTGAGGCAGACTCCGAGAGACCTTCATGGCACTGGGCTTTTTTGACTAAGAGGAAGCCTGGATGCTGGACCTTTCAGAACTGTTAGGGAAGTCCTTGCCTGTTGAGCTGTTTTTGTTCCATTTAGTTATTAGGGAGTGGGCGCCACACCTATCAGGTGTCACTCTGGTGGTGCTCAGGGAACCATATGGGGTGCCGGGAATTGAACCTATCTTGTCCACAGGCAAGATAAGCACCCTCCCCCCTGTACTATCTCTCTGGTCCTGTGTATTTTATTTTAATTTTTTGTGTCCATCCCTTTTAATGATAGAGTTGGTGGAGATAATGGTTAGATTTACACCTGATGTTAGTATAAACATAGCAAATTGATGTCATTTTATATCTTCTGATGATTACACTAAGAAATGTTGAAAATATGAAGTCAAATGATATTATAATTCTAAGTGCTTACATGTAAAATAAAGACAATCTAGTTCATATGGTATCAAGAACAATATGTAGTTGTTCTAAACTACTGTGAATCTTGTTTAATCTTGCTTCAATTACATGACTCAAAACCTTGTCTTTTTTTTTAATTAGTGAAGTAAAATAGTTGGATTTAACGAAATTTAGTGAAACTATGAGGGGAGAGAAAGAGAGATATGAGCCTGTGTTCAAAAAAGAACACAAGATTCACCAGATGGAAAAAGCCGAGTCATTATTTTTTAAGGAAAAATAATAATAGCATAATTACTTTGTAGTGAAACAGAGTTTACAGCAGCAGCTTATATGTGTGATGGACCACATCTGTAAATTAGTCGACACAATTTCTGCTGATGAACTTAAAACTTTGAGTTGTGGCAATGAACTACTTCAGCAACGAAACCTCAGGTACCTTGATTTTTCTTCTCTGGAATTTCGATGATTGTATCTCCACCTCTCTGAGTTAGAAATGGACAGGGCCCAGATTTTTCAGGCATTCCAACAAGGAAATGAACTATCATTATGTTTTAAATTATTAATTTTTCAGAGCATCCCTTTAGTGATTCTACTCAAATTTTGAGATTGAGGATGTATTTTACCACTATTTCTGTTTGGGAGGAAAACAAAAGATATGCTAGTGTGGCCTTTAGTCACAACTCATCTTTGGTACCGTGTTCTGTGTTCTCACTTCAGAAGGAGACTCCTACTTGAAGCAGATTTCAGTCCCAGCGATGCCACTGTTTGCTCAGGGTGGCAGTGCAGGCCTGGGTCCCTCGGCAGCCCTATGGAGGGTGCAGCACCTGTTTCCTCACCTTCTGCCCATCCTTCAGAGAAGTCTGTTAAGGAATGGAGTTTTCTACAACTTCCCTCGAATTCTGTTACTCCGGGAGAATGTTTACAGACAACAACCTCAACAAAAAACATACTCTCAGCTACTATGAAGAATTACCCTGAAAAAACGTTACTCAATTCCCATATACAGAGGTCCTCTGTGAGCAGCAACTGCGTTGAATCACCAAGGCCAGAAAAAAGAAACGAAAGTTCTTATTTCCCTGGGAAGGTTCTCACAAGCACTGCTGCTAAAGATCGGAATAAACATGCCACTTCTGTAACAGACTCAGAGAGAGAAACGAAGGCTTTCTCTGATATGGACAATTTTGAAATAGATGACTTTGATGATGATGATGACTGGGAAGATATAATGCATAATTTAACATCCAGCAAAACTTCTACAGCTGCCTATCAGCCCATTAAGGAAGGGCAGCCAATTAAATCATCAGAAAAAATTACTCCAGCCAAAACAAATTGTCTTCCAGTGGCATCTACTGCTCAAAATAAAAACTTTTCAGGGTCAATTCAGAGTTACACTGGTAAGTTTCAAATAATTGGGATGCTTATATATTATATGAAAACAAAACTATCCAAAATGGGAGTTGTGTAAGAAAAACCATCATTGCCAGGAAAGTACATTGTTTCGATGCAAATTCCCACTGATAATATGAATTACAAATCACAATTTCAAAAGCTGTTGCTCTTTTGTCTCGGTAGCAGCTGTAGATTTATAAAATGTGTAATTATGACCTATTGTAGTAAAGCTCTAAAGTCATTGTAAATGTGCCTTTGCCTTTAACACATTTTAGTCCCTCAAACAATGACTCTGGGGATGGGCAAAAGCAACATTGAATTTACATGTTAAAATGTAATTGTGTGCATTTTCTAAATTCTGGGTTAATGCGAATTTGTTTTTAAAGTAGAGGAACATACTATATGTTTTAATATGAGATTATGAAGTCAAATTTCTTAAAACTATTTTTGCATAGGATCTTTTCATTTTATTCAAAAGATACGTATTGAGTCCCCTCACTGCCATAGTCTATACTGATTCCTACTAGTAGAGAGAAATGAACCGACTCCTACCCTCTGGGAGTTCATGACTTAAGTGAGGAAAGTCTTTGGAGGTGTGAAATCACCAAGATAAAGACTGCAGAAAAAAGGCCAAAATCAATTTTAAAACCTTACATCAGCCCTATAAAGTTATCAATTTTTTTCCTTTTCCCTAATTATTTTTAATCTGATTTTTATGAAGTTGTTCACAATATTTGATTACATTTAATATTTGAACGTCAATCCCACTACCATTACACCTTCCCACCACATTTTGGATGTTTGCATACCAAACCCCAAACCCTGCCCCCAAAATAGAACCGAAATAATTTATTTTGTATTGCTTTTTCTCAATAACTGCTAAAAATGAGCCAAAAAAGGTTTTTAGATAAAAGTGTATGAAGATTGTTGTATTTCACCCAGGAGCCATTAAGCTCTTCTATAAGAGATTAGTAGATGTTGTTAAAGGTTGAGCCTTTGTGCTTATGTATATGTCTGTATAAATGTATTTCTCCCTAAGATTGATTGCCTTCTACTTTAAGCCGCATCAAATGTAATGTGATACTCTTGATATATTAGTGGTATAAAGTATTTACCTGAAATTCTATACCACTTTGTACATGACTTTTCAGTGCTAACAAATGAAGTTACGGTTCACTTCTCATAAACTTAAAAGATACTGATAATATCTGTAGAGAGATGAATTATTACTAAATGTATCATATTTTATATATATGGGTATACTCATTTCTAAGAGGGGAAATTTTTTTTTACAATGCCAGTAATCTTATTTTTCTTTTGTGTATGTCTATTTTTTATTTTATGAAGTAGTTAACAATATTTGATTACATTTAATATTCAAACACCAATCCCACTACCATTACACCTTCCCACCACCATATTTTGGATGTTTCCATCCTGAACCCCAACTCCTGCCCCAAAGCAGAACCAAAATAATTTATTTTATATTGTTTATTATGAAAAAACTGCTGAAAATGCTCCCAAAAACTTTCCTTACAGGAAAGAGTATGAAGATTCTTTATAAAATCTTGAACTTACTGTGTTTTTAAGGGAAAAAACTTTATATGTTCAAGATTTTATAAAGTACAACCCTCCCTATTTTTGTCATTGATGACCTAATAAAAGAGGTTCTTATAGTTGTACCATTGACCTTTAAAATAATCACTTATGGATTTATTTTTGTATCATGTTAGAATGTTGGTGTTCGCAATTATCTTTGAGAGTTAAATGTTAGGGTCCAAGGAACTGCCATGTTCTTTGCTGTTGCAGTGTCGTGAGATATAATGAAAGGACAGTTAGGAAGCAAAGATGACTCTGAGGTTTCAGACCTGGTGGCTGGAAAAGCCGACACCTAGAACAGAACCAGGGAGTCAGGAGGCAGAGACTGATTTGGAGGAAAGCTGAGGAAGGCTATTTTAAGATTAGTTGATCTTCAAATATTAGTAAGTCATTTAGATAGAAATGACTTTCAGGGCCCAGGAAGATTGGAGCAGGGGCTGGAGTGATAGCACAGTGGGTAGGGCGTTTGCCTTGCACATGGCCCGACCGGTTCGATTCCCAGCATCCCATATGGTCCCTCAAGCAAGACCAGGAGTAATTCCTGAGTGCATGAACCAGGAGTAACCCCTGTGCATTGCTGGGTGTGACCCAAAAAGCAAATAATAAAAGCAAGATTGGAGCAAATGATTCCATGTAGGTGCTCTGGGCTGGATTCCCAGTACCACATGGTCCACTGGGACCACCAGGAGTTAGGTGAGTATTGCTGGGCATCACCTAGAAGAAAGACAAAATAAAGTCTTGCAGACAAATGGAAATGCAGGATTGGAATAGGAAGGTGTGGGTCTGCTCTTAAAGAAATCTAGGAGAGATAGGTCTGAGCACATGCTTTAGATATGGAATCCAGGTATGGTCCCCAACACTACATGGTCCTCTGAGCACTGCCTGGATGATGCCTGCTCACAGCCAGGAGTAGCCCTCAGCACCACCAGGTGTGGGTGTACCCCAAGCCCTGCCTCCATAATGAAGAGATCTATAAACAACCTATGTACACTGGTGATGTTAAAAATTGTAAAACTAGAAAAATTACAAAAAGAAATGTCTAGAGGGATCAGAGGGATATAGTGGATAAGGCAATTTACCTTGCACACAACTGCCTGGTTCCCCATGTCCCAGGTATCCCATATGGTCCCCTGAGCACAGCCAGGTGTGGCCCAAAAAACAAAGCAATAAAAAAGACTTCTGGCATCAGGGAGATAGGACTTCAGTGGGCTGAACACATGCTTATATGCTGGATGCTCCAGTTCAGTCCCTGGCACTACATGGCCCTTTCGCACTAAGCCAGGAATAGCCCTTGAACACTACCAGGTACAGCCCCAAAACAAAATTTGGGAATGTCTGAAGTACTCACTCCCAAGTGTCTAAAGACTCCCATGTTTAAGGAGCAGGTAGAGAGTTGTGGAGTCCGGAAAGAGAATTTCAAGGTAGTGAAAGCTCATGGTTGTCTTGAAGATCTGGAGGAAAGAAAGAAGGGAATAAATAGTAGTGGTAGGTATTGCAGAAAAATCAAGGAAAAGACTTAAGCATTTTCCTTTGGAAATCTCTGGTTAGTTTGACCCCATTAAGTGATTAAAGGTTGTGTTGGGAATGATTCTGTACCTACCCAGTGATTTTGCTGGACACAGGCAAATGTTAAAATAAATTTGTATTAATGCACTGATTTTTCTTAACATTGTTTTCTTAGACAAGTTGGCGCAAAATTTGACACCCAGAAATCTGAAGCATGAGCATTTCCAAAGCCTTAGTCTTCCTCACACAAAAGAAATGATGAAGATATTTCACAAAAAATTTGGACTGCATAATTTTAGAACTAATCAGCTAGAGGCGATCAATGCTGCATTACTTGGTGAAGACTGTTTTATCTTAATGCCCACTGGTATGTATTTTTAGATAAGAATTGGCAGGAGTCCATTGGCAGATATTAAGTGAAAGCTCTTTAATAGAAATAAAAAGAACACCTACACAGTATTTCTGTCATTTTGGGACCTTAACCTCCCAATCCTTGGTAAGAAAGTACTTTCCTTCATTGGGGCTGTTGACGTGATAACATTCATAGCCCTTTAGAATTTCAGCACAAAGCACATTACACTGAATTGATCTAGAGTGTTTCTTTAGGAATTTTGCTGTTTCTTCCCCATAGTCAACACTAGAACAAAAAAATCACTGGGATCCGATCTGTTCCTGTCAGTTTACAGTAGAGTGGCACATGGCAGATTAAATCCTGAGCCCTACCTCTTAGCAGCAGTTTGATCTCGAGCAAGGCTGCCCCTTCCTGAGCCCCTTGCTCATGTACATGTGCAGTGAGGGGTAGTACAGCTCTGAGAATCAGAATTAAATGAAAAGTATTCTTTCTTGGTCCTAGTTTTGAAGAGATCCAGGACTTTTCATCTTACTATTAAAGTTTATGACAGCTGGTCATTGATTCTACAGTCTTCCAAGAGATAGTCTACTACCATCATATCATATCATTCATATCCAGAGAGTTAGTGCAGCAGGGAAGGCATTTGCCTTGTACATGGCCGACCTGAGTCTGATCCCCAGCATCACATATTGTCCCCTGAGCACTGCCAGGAGTAATTCCTGAATGTAGAGCCAGGGGTAATCTCTGAGCACTGTCAGGTGTAGCTCAAAATGAGAAAAGTAATAGTAATAAAATAATTAATGCTGATATCATGATAATTAGTAATCCTTTGTACTGCTAGAAATAAAGCTTATTTGGGTTTTCTGAGAATGTATTTAAATAATCACCATTGCATCTGAGTGTTCTGCCTAAAATTTACTAGCTTTTATTATATCATCATTGACTATATAAAAGATGTCCTGAAAGGTTATTATCACATTTAAATTACTTAAAAATTTTTGCTTATTGAAATATAGCAAATTGTTGGCATCCTGGGGAATATCACTTGGTGTCTCACTAGTTAAGTAATATATGTGGTTTTCTTTGTCATTTTTGCCTTTCAGTTCTCAAGATAAAACCTGACATTTTTCCCTCCCTATTTCTCTTTTAGGAGGTGGTAAAAGTCTGTGTTACCAACTCCCTGCCTGTGTTTCTCCTGGGGTCACTATTGTCATTTCTCCCTTGAGGTCACTTATAATAGATCAAGTCCAAAAGCTGACTTCCATGGATGTAAGTTAAAATACATTTAAAAATAAAATCATGATTTATAAACAGTATACTTCAGAATTCTTGAATAAGCACAGTAGTTACATTAGGTTGTCTTGTTTTGGGGGGGAGGGGCAGTGTAGGGGTCACACCAGCTGTGCTCAAACTTAATCTTGTTGACTCCTTGCTCAGGGACCCTCCTGGGGGTGCTGGGCGAGAATCATATGCAGCGCTGAGAATTGAACTGAGGTTGGTCACATGCATAGTGAGCACCTTACCCTTATCTCCAGTACTCTCTCTCTCTGGCCCTGCATTAAGTTTTATATTTGAGCAAAAGTCTGAGAATTCTGATTATTATCTTTTTTAATTGAATCTGATTTTATTTTAGAAAAAAGTATTTTCATAAGAGGGGGCTGGAGCGATAGCACAGTGGGTAGGGTGTTTGCCTTACACGCGGTCAAACCGGGTTCAATTTCCAGCATCCCATATGGTTCCCCGAGCACCGCCAGGAGTAATTCCTGAGTGCATGAGCCAGGAGTAACCCCTGTGCATCACCAGGTGTGACCCAAAAAGAAAAAAAATTTCATAACATGGGAATTTTTTTTTTTTTTGCTTTTAGGGTCACACCCAGTGATGCTCAGAGGTTACTTCTGCACTCATAATTACTCCTGGCGGTGTTTGGGGGACCATATGGGATGCCAGAGATCAAACCCAGATCTGTCGCTTGCAAGGCAAACACCCTACCCACTATACTATAACTCTGGCCCCTCATAAGAACGTTTAACCCATACTTTGATGTAGCTCTGTCCTCTCATTGTTCATTGATTTGCTTGAGCGGGCCCAGTAATGTCTTCATTTTGAAACTTGTTACTGTGTTTGGCATATTGAATACATCACTGGTAGCTTGCCAGGCTTTGCTGTGCGGCGAGATACTCTCTGTAGCTTCCCGGGCTCTCCAAGAGGCGCGGAGAAATTGAACCAGGCTCGGCCCTGCTGGCTGTGTGCAAGGCAAACGCCCTACCGCTGTACTATCGCTCTAGCCCATACTTTGATGATGGAAGTTTATTATTTTCACATTAGATGAATTTTTTTTCCCTGTCAACAGATAAACATAGTTCAAACTCTTTTATCTCGGGGCTGGAGCAGCAGTACAGTAGATAGGGCGTTTGCCTTGCACACGACCAAACCGGGTTCGATTTCCAGCATCCCATATGGTCCCCTGAGTACCGCCAGCAGTAATTCCTGAGTACAGAGCCAGGAGTAACCCCTGTGCATTGCCAGGTATGACCCAAAAAGGGGGAAAACAAAAAAAACTTTTATCTCTTAAAATGCACATGCACATGTCCTGTTTCTCCTGGCTGATGTTAAGGAAGTATATGATGCATTCTTCTAGTCTTGTGGATTGTGATAGTCACCTCCTCTCAACAGGACCACTTATTTTAGTTTTCTTCCAAAGACTGTATGAGTCCAGTATTAGTGGCCTTTGTTCATTCAGGGTGATACAGCCCCTCCCACTGTCACTCTGTGTCAAAATCCTGAAGATAGAGTTACCTGAAAATGAATGTAGCCATACATTAGCATTGGAATCTCTTGGATGCTGATTTCTTAATTACTTTACTTTATAAATAAGAAAAGAGAAGTAAATAGTAGTAAGAATATATGAGTTATGCATATGGGGGGATATTGGGGGGTTGTTTGTTTTGTTTGGCCCACATTCAGCAGTAGTGCTCATGGTTTACTCCTTACTCTGTGCTCAGGGGTCACTTCAGGTGGTGCTCACGGGGTGCCTGGAATCAAACCTGGGTTGACTGTGTACAAGGCAAGCATCATACTCTTTGTACTATGCCTTTTGCCCTGTTTTTGCTTACTTTTTAATGGTTATGTATTTATTTCAAACTAAACTGTACTGAGTATTTGTTATCACTGGCATAAGGATTTTTTAAAAATGTGATGATATTTTTGTTGAGATTGGGGGGGGCAGGTTTAATATATAACTTAAAACCCAAGGATAAATATAAACTCAAGTCATATTAATGTATAAAATTTATATTATTTACTACTTTATACTTAGATTCCAGCTACATATCTGACAGGTGATAAGACTGACTCAGAAGCAACAAGTATTTATCTTCAATTATCAAAAAAAGATCCAATTATAAAACTTCTATATGTTACTCCAGAGAAGGTTCGTATATTTATTGTTTTAAAATATGACATTAATGGCCACTAAGATACATATATTTTAATATAATTTTTAAAACAAAGTGAAAACTCTTTAAGGTGATGTGATATTTCAATGTTTTAGTGTCGGGGTGTAGCCTAGCAGTGGGGTGCATGCTTCCAGTCTTCAAATGTTTGAATCCCTGCATTTAATTCCTGGCGTGAAAAAAGTCAATGTGTTTCTGATCTAGGTGTGTGCAAGTAATCGACTGATTTCTACTCTGGAGAATCTGTATGAAAGGAAGCTGTTGGCACGTTTTGTAATTGACGAAGCACATTGTGTCAGTCAGGTACATATTTTGTCTTTCATTGTTCTAATGAAGTAAAATAATTTTATTAGAAAACTTGAGAAACATTTTAAACCCATGGAATAAAAGAAATTACACACACTCTATTGTTGGGATGTGGGTGATTACAAAGTGGAATTTACCAAATATTCTTGGCCTATCAGTGAAATCTTCATTTCTCTTTTAGAAATGAAGAGAAAATAACATGATATTCTATTCTTTCATTATAGAGTAGTAGGTGGCTCTCAACTCTTGGGCAGAGTTTGCTTTTAATGTAAGTATTGCTTTCTAATATTTGGAAGCTCCGTGGGACTGGAGAGATAGTACAGTGGGTAGGATGCTTGCCTTGACATGGCTGACCTGGGTTCCATCCCCAGCATCCCATATGGTCCTCGGAGCAGCACAGAGCCAGGAGGAACCCCTGAGCATCACTCTGTGTGGCCCAGAAACAAAACGAAAAACTGGGAGCCCCATAAAGTCTGCACAGCATTCTTTTTTTCTCCTCTCCTTTTGCTTCTCTTTGTTATTTTTGTTGTACCGATTGGGGTCTCACGCAATTGGTTGTAGTGCTCAATGAGAGTCACACACGAACTGATAAACACTTCTGTTGTGGCACCTGGGATTACAAACCGAAGTGCTGCCAGATTGCCGTCAACGTGTGGGGCAGTGCCTGAATCAGACTCATTTCCTCATGCCTGCTTTCTCTGGGCCCTGAAAAGCTGTCTTTTTTTCCCAAACTAGTGGGGGCATGATTTTCGCCAAGATTATAAGAGAATGAATATGCTTCGCCAGAAGTTTCCTTCAGTTCCAGTCATGGCTCTTACTGCCACAGCTAATCCCAGAGTACAGAAGGACATCCTCACCCAGCTGAAAATTCTCACCCCCCAGGTGTAAGTTATCAAGACATCATTTTCGTTTTGGAATGTTTTTGCTGTCATTGTTCTTGGGCCTCACCCAGTGAGTGAGGTGCTCGGTATACCATGCAGTGCCAGAGACTGAACCCACGCAAGTCTGGCACACAAAGTGTGCACTTCAGTCCGTTGAGTACCCTTATCCACCTCTACAAGCCATGAATTTTAAAACCCTAAAGCAGTGATTCCCAGAGTTTCTGCATATTGTAATCCTATAGAGATTTAAAAATCCCATTTCACGTTTTTGTGCCTAGACCAACTCGAGTGGGATCTGGGGGCCAGAAACCAGTATGTGTAAAGAACTTCAAGTAATTTCAATGGCCGAGCAAACTTTAGGCCACAGACTGGGGCTTTTTTGCTTCCTGCTATGCCAGCATCTGTCTTAGAAGGAGTAGGTTTCATGCTGAGCCTATTGATCCCGGTATTGTCCTAGTAATAAATTAGCTTTGATTCACCTCTATCTGGCTTCCTTATCATAGATTATACTTCATGAAATGAACAGGTGACCTTGCTCTGTCTTTTTTCCCCCTGAAGTACCAATTATTTTCACAGTGTAGAAAGCAGTTCAGAAATGATGTATTGCAGCATTTTTACTTGGTGATCATCTCAGCAACAAAGTGCTTCTTGTTGCTGCCAGGTTCATAATTGTTCAGTAGCAAACACTGTTGCAGACATCCCCAGTGGCATTCCTCGCCTGCATCCCAAGATGGACCATAGAGTTTCTTTTACTTCACGGGGCCCTCCCCTCTTTCTGGTGAAGCATGCTTTCTCTCAAGTGAATTCTCTTTTCTCTTTTAATAAAATTGCTTTGCTTCCCACACATGAACTGCCCCCATTTTCTGTGGCATTGGTTGACTTTACCTCCTCTAGATTTGTAGAGACAAGTGCAGTCTTTGATGGATTCATTACTTATACTCCGCAAATATTTGTTTAACATCACCTTGTAGTAGGGTTAAAATACATTTTTCCAGAGCATTTTCCAGACTGGAGAGATAGGGCAGCAGGTAAGGCACTTGCCTTGACCATTGCCAACTTGGGTTCTATCCCTGGCACCCCATCTGGTCCCCTGAGTCCTGACAGAAGTCCCTGAGCACAGAGCCAGAAGCAAGCTCTGAGAATAGCCAGGTATGGTTCCCAAACCAAAGTGTATATACATGTAGATGTTATTTTTCTTCTGGTCTATTAGTTCACGTGTTGAGTTTGAAGAGCAACTGGAGCAGTTATGACATTTTAAGTACCAGTTTGCCTAGAGTGAAATCAGCAAGTGTGCTCTGGGATATGCAGAGCAGTGAGAGATGAGCGTGTCAAGAACTGACAACTGCATGTTACAGCTCAGGGCAGCGTGAGGGGCTGTGACGGAAGAGCTGGCACTCCGAGCACAGGACTCACAGGGTTGTCACTATGTCGTGTATGTGATCACAGAATTGGACTGGAGGATTTTGTTCTATCTTCTTGCTGTTGATTTTTTGTCTTTGGGGGGTGGGGGCAGGTGTCATGCCCAGCAGTGTGCAGCAACTGCTCCCAATTTGGTCCTTAGAGGTTTGCTCTTGGTGGTCTTGCTCTTGCTCAAGGGATCATGCTGTACTGGGCATCAATCCTGGGCCTCTGCCTTGCGAAACGTACTGATTAGCCTTTTGAGCTACATCCAGGCCCAGAAATATTTTACTTAAAAAATTTTTTTTAATTTGATTTTGTTCTGGGGCCAAGCATTTTAATTTTTTTTTTTTAATTTGGTTTTGTTTTTGTGCTCAGGGCTTATTCCTGGCTCTGCACTCAGGGATCACTCCTGGTGGTCTGGAAAAATAATTTTGGATGCCAGGAATCAAACCTGAGTTAATCACATCCAAGGCAAGCGCCTCCTAGCTATACTTAGCTCTGGCTTCCTAGGAATATTTTAATTTCAGAGCAGAGGGTTTTGTGTAAAATTTGAGAGTAAAAATACTTTGCTTTATTATTGATAGCCATTGCATTTTTATTTAAAACTTCATATACTTTATGTTCTAATGAATATTTACTGATTTATGACAGGTGCAATCTGGTTTTCTTAATTTTAGGGCAGTATTACTATTAATTGCTAAAAACCCATAGTTAGAGGAAATAATATAAATTTAATACATTTAATTTATTTACTTTTGGTTTCGGGATCACACCTGCCAATGGTTGGGGGTTTACTCCTGGCTCTGTGTTCAGAGATCACTACTGACAGTGCTTAGGGGACCATATGAGATACCGGAGATCCAACCCTGGTCAGCCACATGCAAAACAAATGCCCCAGCCACTGTACTATTGCTCTGGCCCTGATTCACTTTTTTTGTTGTTGTTTCATCATTTTCTTTTATATATATATAATTTTTATGTTTTATAAAGTAGTTCATAATATTTTATTATATTTAATATTCAAACACTAATTGATTCACTTTCTTTTAATAAGATTCTTTTCACGGGAGCACAGCTGGCCATGCTTGGGGCCTCAGACACACACGCTCCATCTTCTGAGAAATTATTCAGCTGGTGGGTCAGGGAGATAATTCAAAGGTCCAGATCATGTGCTTTGCTTGTGGGAGCCCCTAATTTAGTCCTTGGTACTATGTGGGCCCCCAAAGCACTTTGGGAGCACTCCCCAAGCACTACTAGATGATCACTCCAACCCCAAAATAAAACATTTTAGCTTTTATTTGCATGAGCGTTGGAAATAAGTATTTATAGATACAGACGCCTTTTACCCCTTTGCTAGTTTGTGGAGATCATCCCAGAAGAGCAGTAGATTATACATTTCCTGAGTCTAGTACATGTAACTTGTTTATAATTGGCACTAAGAAATAAATTGGATGTTGAGGAATTTAATAAATGTGGGTAAAATATAAAGTCTTGGGCAAAATTCTTTCTTGTTTGCTTTGTTTCTTGTTTTGGGGCCATACCCAGCTGTGTTCATGTCTTCCTGGCTCTGAGCTCAGGGATCACTCCTGGCAGTGCTTAGGGGACCCTATGGGGTGCCGTGGATCAAACCCTGGTCGGCTGTATGCAAGGCAACCGCCCTCCCGACTGTACTATCTCTTGGTCTCCTGGACAGAATTCTTTACATATTTTGCACTTCTTTATTTGGGAGAGTATGAATGCCCTCGTCGAAGGAAAAGATTCCTGTGTTGTACTTGGCACCATTGGTGCTCAGGAGATGTTCCCAGCTCTCTTGAGAACCATGTGGTTCTGATGCTCAAACCTGGTGCTCCTATATGCAGAGCATGCCGTTCTGCCTGTTGAGCTGCTATCTGGCCCCAAGTCAGATTTTTAAGAAGTAAAAGATTTTAGTAAACTCTTCTGGAACATTATTTCCTGGTCTTTTCTGACATGTCTGGATTGAATTTGCTCAACTTCCAGTTATTCCACGGCCCTAGTAAAGACAGGCCTTATGAGGGTGACAGCTCTGCCCTGCATGGTCCTCTTCTGCCTGCTGTGAGAACGTTCTTCTCCGGTGGAAAATGGCAGCAGGATCACTTAATAACTTTTTTTTTTTTTAAATGTAGGAGTACTGCTACTTATTCAGCCACTGATTAGGCTGATTCAGTTGGGCATGAACTCCATTCACTTAATAACTTTTAAATATGGAGAAAGAGAAAAGATTCAGACATATAGTTTATTGCACAGTAATAATGGTGTGCCAGGCATTAACTTTGACATATTATGTAAACTAATTTCTCCACACAAGTCTTAAGATATATCCACATAAAGGGGCCAGAGTGATAATACATCAGGTAGGGCATTTGCCTTGCGCTTGGCCAACCCAGGTTTGATCCCTGCTATCCCATATGGTCCTTCGAGTCTACCAGTAGTGATCCCAGAGCTAAAAGCCAGGAGTTAGCCCCTGAGTATTTCTTTATGTGGCCCCAAAACCAAAACCAAGATTAGGTGCTCTTATTTTCCTCCATTTATGGATGAAGAGGCTGAGACACACAGAAATGAAATAATTTTGACAAAATCTTATAGGAAATATTGAAATGAGATCCTGAGCTCAAACGATCTGCTTTTAAATCAGGGAGTAGTGGGCTGGAGCGATAGCACAGCGGGTAGGGCGTTTGCCTTGCACACGGCCAACCCGGGTTTGATTCCCAGCGTCCCATATGGTCCCCCGAGTACCTGAGTGCAGAGCCAGGAGTAACCCCTGTGCATCGTCAGGTGTGACCAAATAAATAAATAAGTCAGTGAGTGGTGATTAAAGATGTAACATGATTTGCAGGATTCAGGAACTATGACTTAAAATGACAACTTCCTTAATGAGGAGGGGTCAGACAGGTTTTTATAAAGAAGCAGGTTTTGGAGGATGAGTCAGCTTTTAAGTACTTTAAATAGAGACATTGAGATATAATTTGTGTGCTATAAAATTCACCTTTGCAGGACTTTCTGTTTTATGGGAGTTGTGTTTGTTTATTCACGGGTTATGCAGTCGCCACTGTCTAACATTTTTGTCTCTCCTAATGAACCCAGTGCTCATTAGCAGTCCCTTCTCTTCTCCATTCTTCTTTGGGTGACCATTAATCCATTTTGTCTCTATAGAATTTAGCTTCTCTGCATTCCACATAAACAGGGTCATCCGTTGAGGTTCTTCATAATGTCATATATGAGAATACTTCATTCTTTTTTTTAATTGCCAAATAATATTCCGTTGAAAACTTTACATTTTCATCCATATGGTGGATATTTGAGTTGTTTCCATTTTGGGTTCTTAGGAATAATGCTGCCATGAGCATTTTGTGTTCAGATTGTCTTGTGAACATATGTTTTCACTTCTCTTGGCTGTATACTTAGGAGTGGAATTTTGGGGTCATGTAATAACTATGTTTAACCTTTTAAAGAACTACCAGATTGTTTTCCAAGCTGCTGCACCATTTCACTTTACCTTCCACACTGCATCAGGGTTGCAGTTTTAGGGTTACTTTGTTTTATTTCATTTACTTCTTTCTTTTTTCTCCTTCCTGATTTTTTTG